TAAGACCGATATACACGAGATGCGATTTTACAATATCGGTTGTAAAAGACGAAAGAAGTCTCATAAATTTAATCCAGTCATTCAATTATACGACAGTTATATTAATTTTATTATATATGTAATATAATTATTATACATAAGAAACATCCTACACAAATACTGATGTCTTTTACTGTGTCTTTTTAGAGTTCCGTGATTCTTACAAGGTACCTTTATAGTTTCGACAAGTAAATCTATCTGTCCGTCCGTCTTTTACAAACATTGAGGGGCTTTGAAGACTTTTCTACAATGAAGTGATTCCTTGAGTAAAATTCAACTTTAAAGTGTACTTTTTATTAGGGTCAAGTGTGGCCCTATATTTTTATTGCTTGATACATCATAAAAAAAAAACGTAATTAGATAAGTTACGAATTTATAAGAAAAATATTATGGTTAAGTTAGTTTTAGAGCAGTAGTCGCACTAAATTAAAAAATGTACCTAATTAGCAAAATACAACATCCTTAGGAAATAATCCTAATGTGAAGTTGGTAGTAAACTACGAAACCCTACACTGCGCGTAGACTGCCTCACACTTGTTCGGTTTTATTTCTAACTAGCTGATCTGCGCAATTTTGTCTGCGTCTCAAAAGGAACAAAGCGCCGTTTTTGCAACAATTTCATTGATACTCGGCTCCTAGGCTCCTCCTGATACTCGGCCTTATTGGTCGTAGCGTGTGTTGGCTATCCCATAGCTTTCCTCGACAAATGGGCTATCCAAAATTAAAATATTTTTACGATTCTCACCAGTAGTTTCTGAGATTATCTCGTCACCCCAAACAAACAAACAAACCCTTCATCTTTATAGCATTAGTAAAGGTGATAATACAAACAGTAAACATTTCTTAATGAAAGATTCCTATAACCAAGTGAAAATATCGGAAACATTTTGCTAGGGTACGATCCCATGGCTGGGATTAATAGAAAAATATTGTTCTAATAGGCGGTGCCGTAAGCCCACTATTGTTCCCCACGGATCAACGGGCAGGCTTTTTCTGTTACTAACTTGATAGTTTATTTCCTATTGGTATATTGAATAGGAGAATTTTATATGTGTTGTACGAATTTTAGACTACGCGTTTTACACTGCATTTGATACATATTAATTGTGTAAGCATTGGCTGTGTTTACTTTATGTTTTTTGAGTTCGTAAGTAAATATTATTTGAAGCCTGTATACCCTTTTTTGAATAAATACATGGAAGTATGTCATATTTGAAATACTGTGTCTATGTAGAAGAAGTACACATGCTTAGTTAAGTTTATTTGGCACTATAACACGACACGACAAAAGTTGTTCCAAAAAAGTTAAAACAAAAAATTGATGTCTACGCCAAGTTACGGTTTGAAAATAAACATTGCGAAAGTCTAATAAAATATGCTTCTAATCACATGACCGCCATGACTTGTTCTCACGAAATAAGTTTGTCTCTAAAATTTAGAGTGGGTGTGATTAATTTGATTGCCGTATGCACACAGTGCGCAGCGCGAACTGAGGTAGGCTGGCTTGTACTGATGAATCCGATTTTTAAAGTAATTTATTGTTGGTCGGGAGATGCTGTACTGTTAGCCAACAGTGCAATGTACTATTTGTAGTTTTTGTTTTGGTATAGCGCCCATTTGTTTTTTTTTTTGGTGACGGGTTTTGGAAAATCCCTAACGTGCATATTTTGGTAAATATGCACGTTTGGCCGAATTAGGCGGAGGGTTCGATGACTTCACTCACTCAGTGAAATGTAATCATAGAGTTTCTGTGAGGGTCACTGTCGCTATCGCTATCAGTAACAAGGAATAGGGACACTTAGCGCGTGGTCAGTTTAGTTTCTCAGATTGATTGACCTTATGGTTTACGATGTTGCCATTATTTAAATAAACTAAATAAAATGTACATACTTTAAATTTAGATGCCTTAATATTTTTTCTAATGTCTACCATGAAACTTTTGGATAGTTGGTAATACACTTTTTATTTTAAGTTGAATAGAAATTCAAATCTTACTTCCTTAATTCTCAGAGATAGGGGTTTCTTGAGAGATCTCTCAAAGCTCTTTAGTGAATCCACAGCTGAACGTTATAAATGCGATTGCAGTTTCAGTAGTCAATTGCACACAGTGCACGGAATAGGCTTACGTCACTAAAATTACCAACGACAATATTACAATGAATTTAAACAAGAGAAAGGTTGAATAGACCACTTTCAAATTGTTGTGACTTAATTGAAACAAATGAAAAACTATTTACTAAAGGATTTAATTTTAAAACTTTTTTTGATTTTGTGAATATTTGGCATGAGTCAATAAACCTGGCACTAGACAGTCAAATATAGCCAATAAAATTGCCGGTAATAATAGGATTGACCGTTCAAATAAATAAAAAGTTACAGTGAACAATTTTTGATCGATAAAATGTAATCACGATGCATAACTCCGGTTGTGCCGCTGAGTGCACATTCTAAATACCGCTATGCTCCAGAGTTTCATAAACACATGATATTATATGAGATTAAATATATTATGTTAGCATCACGATTTTCGATTCTAAATGACATGTTATAGAATCAGTTTTAAATCACGGGTAGAATTTTGGTCACTACAATAGTAGTGACCAAAATTCTCAATTACATTATTAAAACATTTTATTTTTGCGATGTGTTTTTTAGTCATTGACTATAATCTTAAGTTATATTCTACGGTCTAGAGTAACAATGAATAAATATAGGTAGATAGTCTAACTAAAAAGATAGTCTAGTAGTCGATCGTAATAACGGGCTAGAGCCTGTAATTACAAATAAGGCATCACTTTAAGAACGTCAAACAAGGGCTTAATTCCAATGTATTAATCGATTGAAAATGTAGTCTTGATCCATACACCAACGAGCAATTTAAGTAACTGATAAGAAAAAACAATGCCTGTTTGTTTTCTAAAGAGTCTATCGATCAATGTTACTAGTAGGTAAAAGCAAATCTTTTGATAGATCGGTATAATAGAATGACTTGAAGGGTCACCTCTGTCTCATCTCATGTCTCACCTCGGTCATCAGTCTGTGGTGACACTAAAGAATGACATATCTACTATTCATTAAGTCTAATGTAGGGCGCCACATTTATTGGTAGTAAAATTGCATTGACCCGATATCGCTGGCCAAGTAGAAGTTAACCGCAATTTTTAGGAACATCGTGAGGTTGTTTCAATTAAGGTAATGTCTTATCTTAACAAACATTAAATTTATCGTCATCTCTCTGCCCATTGGCTATTTTTATTCGCGGTCAGGCAACGTGTCACGTTTCAAGGCTTTTGGCTGATTTATTTTATAGTTAACTGCCAGCCTGACGCCCATTCCAGGGATTGGGAATGTAATAGTTTCCAGACGGAACGGGACGTTAATAGGGTAAGGTAACGGATATGACGAGGGAGTTAGGGGTCGAACCCGCGAACTTTCGGGTAGCAGTCCGTTACACAAACCACTACACCATCCAGCCGTCAGTAGATAAAGATATTGCATGATATACCTGAAAAATTATTAAACATATTGATTATCTAGTTTTTTGTTCAAGTCAGTAAATAAGGAATCTAATTATGAACTGGAGTTAAGATTAAAATATTGAAGGACATTGGCTGGAGGTTTATTCTTTTCCAGCAACAGCCATTACGTGTGCGACCCTGGTCTACTTGAGCTTCCTACCCTGTATCTAAATTTCTTTGATGTTGGTGCAATGAGTTTTCTTCTTCCATCCTTCTTGATTACTCGACACCCTCTTTCACGAACTGCTTTATTTCATAGCGAGATGGTTTTTGCTTTTTCTTTTATGGCTATCTATCTGTAAAAGCAATATCCCTTTATCAACCTCTCATCTCTTTTCATTTCATTATTTTCTCTTTTTACCTATCTAACTCGGAAAGTACCGGTTTACGATACGATTTAGTTTGAAATTAAATTCACACAGAATAAATTGTGGAAATTAAGAAAAAACCTAGTTCTAATTTTAAAAAGACAGCTGGATGATTTATCGAAGTGTTACTAACGAAGCGAAACCAGTCCCATGTATTCAATACATTCCATTCCCATTGACTCTGTATTTTAATCAGCCGTAATATGCATGTGTTTTCACTATGCGTTTCATCACGCGGTGACGTCACAACGCTTGCATCTGCGATGGAAACTCGCTCCTATATATTAACATATTATATGTAGGTAATTCTTTAAGAATGTTGTGATATAGTATGTGGGTGAGTGTCAATGTGATTTGGGACTCAGATAGCGGTGCGTGATGATTTCTATTCGTTAATATTAATAATTGAACATTCATAAACGTTTTAGAAGATAATATTATCGAAAATATTATAAGAATTTTAGTATTAATCTATCACTATAAACATTTATATTGCCAAAGAATTTGAGCCAAAGTTCTTTAGTGTTGTCATAGACACTTTATTCATAGTGCTAGAAAACTTCCTTGCTTCTAAAAAGGGGAGACTGGGAATTTTAGATTGCGTCTTATATGCGTGTCTCTTTGATTAGGTGAGGTTATGGGGAAGAAAATCTTAAGAAAGATGGAAAATTGGTCGAATAGAAGATGCAAATATAAAGCTCCACCTTGGAGTTCATGGTCGTAGTCATAGTTTAGTATAGACCTCCATTTGCCGATAATCCCAAATCTAAATGACCAATACAGATGTAAGCGGTTTCTTCAGAAAAGCAAACATATAAACCCTTGAAAGAATACTTACTCTATGGCATTTAAACACTGACTGGGTGTAGAGCTGACAACTCTACGATAAAAACTCGTTTGACCTGTAGGGCTTCTGGAGGCTTTCCTTTTAAAAATATGCCCCGGACCAGGGCTTTACTTATTAGCAGTACACTTAGCAGAAGTGAAAAGTCGGTTATTTGAACAGGCATTATAAGTTGTTTACTTACAGTCATCTGCTACCAATATTATAAAACACATTACTTATGTATACGTTTCAATCAAACCAGTCCTGAAACAAAATACACATTACTTAATGTCATTTAATACTGCCTTATTCATAGCGTAGAGATAGCTTGGACACGTACAAATAACTTCCTGGTGGTAGAAGCGCCTACAGACCACAAAGCATTCCTGGAAGGCTTGCATAAGATAACTTCTAAAACATTCTTTACCAAGTTGGGGGAGCTGAAAGATAGTTTAATATATAATAAAGTTTGTTTTGAGTCAAACTGACAGCCTCGTTTATTTGTATGCCAACAAGTAGGTTTCATTCTGTTTTGTGTTATTCATAAATAAAGCAAACTTTTTTTTTTAAACAACTCCTACACTAGTGAAGAATATCGGGAGTGGTATGGATGCCGGGACTCGCAATAAAACGACAATTTCACTATTGTATGTATAGATCGTTATAAAATATACTATTGTAACTTATATCTGAGTACCTACCCACTATTTATTTACATATATCACAACTAGGAATATATTCCTGTGAATTCCTGTGGGACTTTACAAACATTGATCAAACGGACACAAATAATACCCAGACTCAGAACAACAATTTGTAGATCAGACAGTGACAAAATCTACAATTTCACAGGCAAAACCCGGTCGTAATTAATTAAAAGTCCTATAAGATCCACTGTAATAAATTATAGGTAAAAAAAAAAAAAAAACTAGACGCCTAACTTATAGAAAATTATTTTCTTTTTGTCACGCACGCGCTTCAAATACGCTTTTGTAACTAGCTTGTTTTTTAGTTTTTTAAGCAATAATTCATTTTTTAGTCTTTAATGATGATTATTTTTTCATTAAGATTGAAAAAGTAACAAGTAAGTAAGTTACATATGCTTCAGCACACGCCCTTGGTACGTAGCAAAAGACACTTCCATATTTATAGGTATGGAAAAAGCCGTTAATCATGAAGATCCTGATCAGGATAATCGGCCAAATTGATCAAATTATTGTATTGTTATCGGTCCTTGATAAGTGTGCGAAGTTTCATTATTTCGACGTTTTGAAGTGGGTCAAAATCACTTGCGAAAATGCCGTTACGTACATACACTCAGTCGCTAATACTTCCGATTCTGTGAACTAGTGATTTAGTACAATTTTTTGTTCAAAAAATGAGTTTCTAAACACTTGGATTTGGCTGTAAGAGTTAAAAATAAACAAAGGTAGGATAGAAACACATAAATACTCATTTAATAGTATAGTAGTAATTAATATATTCATTTAAAAATTGATATATGAATGAACTAGAATCGAAGGTACATCGAATTATATCGATAAAGGCGTTAATTTGCATGTCAACGGCTCGTGTGTGTAATTACTGATGATTATAAAGCCGCCTACACATGAATACAATAGCTCCGGGTGGTTGCCCACGCTGTAAGAACGGTGAATGGGCGATCCGATGAATGGCAATAGTTATAGTCCCAGCGAGTATCGATATCGAGCCGATTGTCTGTAACGAAACAAGAATCGAGTTTGGAAATTAGTTGGCAGTCAATTATGTCGAAATATGACTTGGATATTAGTTTGTGTTTAAGATTACTGCAGCAAATGTGGTTGGAGTACATTTTTAATTTTATGGCACGTCTAGCCTTGCATTGCAATGTTTGTTAATAGATGGTACGTAAATTTATTAAGTTAATTAAACATCGAAACGGCGCTGCGGTGCTTTGTAAATTGTAAATACTGTGGTAAATTGTGTTAGATGAAATAGCAGAGATAGCCTAGCTGTAGGCATGCTATAGCAGTGTGATGAGATATTCATCTTCATTCATTAAGTAAATGATTGTACTATAAATAAATATACCAATCAAGTACATATTTCGGACTAGAAATTCAAAATTGTATTCTTATTGCCTATTGCCGGTAAGAATTTAGGAGCGGTTAATTTACATAATGAGATCGCGGATCGATAAACAAAGGTAGGACGCCCCCCAGCCAGATGGGCTGACCACTTGTAAACATTTTCACTTACCTAGCTGTGGGAGATTGAATGGAAGAAGAAGAAGAAGAAGTAGAAATGGAGGTCGCACATTGGGAGAGGCCCATGTTTAGCAGTGAACCGCAACGGGCTTACGGCTTGAATTTATATATTAGTATGTTTGTAAACCAAAAACCGATGCTTTGGAATTATCATTTTACATTTCGATGATCTACAAGCCTACCACTCTGCGCTGTAAACTATTTCCTGAGGAGATCTTCATGGGTCCCTGCATCAAAGGAAAGGTAGGGAACTGGAATGTTAATATTTATTTATGTGTTTATTCTTAATCAGAACCTCCTCTGGCCACTTACACTAATTAAAAGAAAAACGTTAATACAGAATAAGCTATGCTATACAATAACTTTTTCTGTATACAATACAAAACTAGCTTCTTCTAACACATAGACTTCTCGCATTACATCAGACATACTGGTATAATCGTCTGCCATCCATCCACAAAGAATTCAGTCTGGAGTCCAAAAGAGCGTTGAGTGTTGTCAGTGGCTGAGGAATAGGTTAATTAAAATGTGCTTCCGTGCAACATATTGGTGGTGCAAATAGTTTGTAACTTCTTTCACGCCTGTAGTTATTGGGTACAAACAATCTTTGCTATTGATATTGAATTTACTAAACGTTGTTGAGCATTGCAAACATTAACAGTAAGAAAAATAGACGAAATTACACATTCTTGTACATTAAAATAGCTCTCTCAACTTTCGTATGCGAAGAGCTAAATTACGATAATCTTAATATTTCCATTATGGGGAATGGAACTGGTTATATGTGCACTGATGTAGATCCACTTTACATTAATCGTTTTGATTCGATAGTGTTATCGATAAATTCTCAAAAACGTAACGTAGACAACACTAAGAACTTACCAACCCACTGTCAACAGATTGCCATAAACCTAGTGTAGTAATCTCAATTTTACATTTGGAATTCTACCACTGTGATATTTTTGGTCGATTTGATAATAAAAAAGGTATAAAAATGTAATAAAGATGTTTCATCGTTTCTAGTGTCATAAAAAAATATAGATGTTAAACAGGCTCTCTATTGTAAAAATATGTTAAATTGAATATTATCTACGGTATGTTCTCTTATCTGTCTTACTCAAATAAATATCCGTTGTAGGTTACGTCGTAGGAGAGCCATGCTTCCCGCTTCAGCTACGGTAATACAAAGGCCTCATAGAAAACCGGTGTTCAGCAATTTTTAGTTTCTTTTCACCGATTCAGTGGGGATCGGAGTAAATCCCCCACACCTCAGAATAAGGGAGGAAGGGAGTAGTTAGACTCCGGTGCCCTTTCCCCTTCGTTGTTGGGTGGCAACGCAATTGTTTCTCTTAAATGCCATGTGTCCATGACGGTGGTAGTCACTTAGTATAGGTGACCTGTTGAACAGTCAACAGTGTGCTAAACATTGTGCTAGGTCAGTTTTACAGCTATTTCAAAATTTACTTAACCATTTCCAAAATTAACATTACAATAAAGTGAAAAAATAATTAAATAATATAGCTTTATTTAATTTTCTATGACATAGGCCGATCATGATGGAGATAAGTATAATTTACTGTGACTTTCAGTAAGTGTCTACACTAACTACACTAATGCCCGTTTTCACCAACTATACTTAAATCATCTCCTTACTAGGAGTTCCTTAACGTAGGTAACCCCTAAATACAACTCTTATCTAATTTCGTTTTCACCATGCTAGTGACACCTAATTAAGGGTCTCCTATTTTGTAGGGGTTTCATAAACCGTAAATTGTATAACCGTAATGTTTTCAGATTGTATTTTTTTTGCAATATAAAATTATTAAAATAATACTTATTACTTAATAAGAAAACATTATGTGAAATGAAATACTTTTTCTATATTTAAAGATTTAATTATCATTTTTTTGTAATTTGGTGCTGGTTTTTGTAATTTTGTAATCTTGTAACAAAATCTTTATCGTCATATTTTGTAAATAAATCCGGTCTGTCACGGTAAATTCTCGGTCTATTGAATAACCTAGGATTATTCACCATCTCTAAAGTCTCAACAGTATTGAAAATATCCCATAAATCGTCCATTTCAATAATTTTAAACAAAAGTTGCGTCAAATTGCTCTGTCACTTTGTTAGGTGGTCAACATTCGGGCCCCTAAGTTTTAAGAGACACCTAAGCACTTAGGTGTCCCCTAAAGGTTGGTGAAAACGAAAATATCACTAAGGGTTACCTAACTTGCTCTAGGTGGCCCTTAAAATTTAGGGGATGTTGGTGAAAACGGGCATTAGTGTCCAAATAATAGTTTTTTTTATGCTCACACGGTTATTTACAAGATACCTATGCCTAAAACCAGTTTAAATATTTTTTATATGTCACTTTGTGTCGGGTAATCTTTAAGAAGTAACTTACTTAGGAGTACTACACCACTAAGGCGGCGCTTTTCAAATTCCAAGTGAAGTCGCGGGTACCAGCTAGTTTATAAGTACTAGTAAAAGTTAGAAAGCGTGCTGACTTTGAAGTGACTTTTATAACTTTATGTTATACTTTGTTATTCACACACCCTTCTTATGTAACGTCATCATAGTCACGGATACAAAAAAACTGCAAATTCTATTCCTGAAACCTGTATTCTATCCCATCATACATAGAATTTGTATTTCATCGCTTCAGTGTCGTATTATACGGACACATTAACCCAAAAAGCTTATTTTTAATTGTCCAACCTTCGAGTAGCCTTTGGCCTTCAACTCGTCCTTCAGCATCCACACGAACATTCCTCGATATGTATTCAAAGCTCGTCGAGAATTGCAAATATGTGTTTTTGTTAGATTGGCTCAATGTTTTGATGACAAACGAAGTTGGACCAGTGAAATATAGTCTGTAGGCATTCTTTTGTTTTGTATTGTAATTTTTTTTTGAATAGATTAAAAAAAGGTTTTTTTTTAGCACGTGGTTTCCATATTATTTGTTTATTTAGTATAGTTATATGTAAGGCTTTTGTTAGGCACAGACTCGATACCAACTAGTCTGGTACTGGATGGGATCCATGATATACTGAGGCCCAAGTGTGAGTTTATTTCACATCAACTCGCTCGTCATGGTGACCGCGGTCGGCGTTGCGATTGGCCCGCACTGAAATCTCCACCAATCAGAGTGAGTAGATGTGAAATAAACTCGCACTTGGGCCTCTGATTAAAAGTGCGAGTTTACTACAAAGTGCTACTCACAGTGAGTGAGGTTACCGCAGTCCAAACCCTCCCTCCCCCTGACTCCAGGGAG